GTACCATGCTTACAGTCATTGCTTCATCTGAGTTACTCATTTTATTTATTTATTTCTTAAACCACCCAGTAACTGAAGCTCCATAGGCAGTGTACAATAAAACACCCTACAAAAATATACACCAAATAAAAACATTTACAATAAAATCAAATGGAAAAAAAACATAAAAACACCACATAAACTGGAGGGTGGGGGAGGGAGAGGGAGATATTCACCTGGTGATGAAATGATGCTAATGCATGCATTAATCAACCCTGCCTGGGGAGGGCATCCCATAAATGGGGTGCCAACACAAAAAAAGCTTTCCCCTTGTAGAGATTCATCTCACCTTTGAGATGAAGGGACATGAAAGAAGGCCTCATTGATGATCTTAAAGTCCAGGTAGGTAGCGATGGGAAAAGGTGCTCCAGCGTAGTGGTAAAGAACTGGAGTAATATGTTTGTAACAGCCAGTTCTAGTAAGCAGTCAAGCTGCTCTATTTTGAAATAATTGACGTTTCCGGGCCATTTTCAAAGGCAGCCCCACGTAGAATTCATTGCAATAATCCAATTGGCAAATTGTCAGAGCATGAGTAATAATGCCTAGACAGGGAATACTGGCCACTGGGCTATAGATGTTTTTATCCTCTAGGTCCAGATTTGGTGTCTTAAGAAATGGCCTGAACACTTCTTAAGAGGCCAGAACAGCTCCATCTCTCAATGAGGCATTTATGACTTCCTGGAATCAGCTGGACAGCCCTTCCCTACTAGTTTTGATAAACCCAGAAGGCTGAGTTTTAGGCCTCAATAACTGAAACTCATTCAACAAAACAGGACAGGAAGATGCTCTGGACACTTCCACTTCTGGAGTTGCATTAACTCAGGACAAATGCAAGCAACTCAATCTTCAAAGTGTGTTGTGAATTTCACACAGGGGACTACTGAGGATACAACAGCCTCTTTCTTTGGGATAGATTCCAACAGGCCCCTCACCACTTGGAAAAGCTCTATCTGACCATTCAGTTCAAGTTCTCCTCCACTTGGGTTCTAGCTGTCAACCCACTTGCTTCACAGCTCTCATCTCAGACATGTACTAAGGTGCTGCTCAGGCTTTGCAAGCAAGCAGAAGGAGATTAGGAGCTACTGTGTCAACTGTCCAGGACAATTTTGTATTCCACAGAGCAACCAGGGCACTGACAAGAGCACCAGCCATACCAGCAATTCTCCCAGAGCCCTCTGGATTCCAGAAGCATCCATTAGTCTCCAGGGGCAAATCATCTTATTTAGATCTCCCATGCTTATGGAGGAGAAAAGCTGCTGACAGACTAAACTTCACCAGGAAATGTTATGACAATGACATGGGGGTGACTGTTAGGTCTCCCACATTCAGATCATTTTCCTCTGGCATATGAATTCTTGACTCAGTTGCATGAAAGATGCAGATTAGATGGCACTCCATGAGGTGTACTCTGACAAATGCAGCTCCGAATAATGTTCAACTGGATGGAAACCTCCAGTTGTTTCCCTACCAGTCTTTGCATCATTTGAGTTTGATTTGGGTTTAACCAGTATACCCATGGCCCCTCCACCTGCTCGTGGTTACAGATAGTCATCGCTTACTGACCACTCGTTCAGTGAGGATTTGAAATTATGATGGTGCAGCAAAAAACAAAGCAGCAAGGCACTTGTTTTGAGTTTCCATTGGTATATAGGGCTGAAATACTCAAAATGTCTTAATTTTTGTTGTGGTGGAGAACTCAGACTGTTTGTGCTTTGTTCTGTTGGAATGAAACCAACTTTGAATGTTCCATTAGAATGTTCTGAGTGTGCTCTTCCGTTCTAAATTCCGAACAAAATGCATTTCCCATTTTGGGCATATCTGAATACTCCTAAAGTAAGAAGCCTACAAAATATGGATCAATAGAAGAATAGCTTGAAAAAATGAATCACATATTTGAAAAGCTAAATAATCTTTTAGAAACCATTTAAGCAGAAAGATTCAGTATGGTGAGAAGAAGAGAAAGAGGCAATGGGTTGAGTAGATAAATGAGTATTTCCTATAGCCAAGATATATGGAGGCAAGGAATTACATATTCATATGAAATAGCCAGCCAAATCTTTGGCTGCAGAACATCCAGTCTGTGATGTAGCACTGAAAGTATACTATTGTCAGGCCTAGCCCAAGGAACTCCAGGAGACCATGTAAATTCAGTTTAGCAATGTTTATTAGCTACAACCTCTAGCAAGAATCTTCCCAGACTGAAACCTCAGTTCCCAAAGTC